TAATATTAACAATATGCTGAAAGTTTTTCCACAAAATTGGTCCCCGATACTGAATAGAATAAAAACATAAATTTAAATTATACTTTTGAATTAAAAAGTTATTTTCTGAGAACTTGGTCGGGTATTTATGGCTTACTTCTCTAAAATAAGGATAGAATATTGCTGGAGACAGTCCATGTTTTATTTGATACATGAACTGTATGACGAGGAATATGTTGATTTTAAACACATTAAATGCATTGAGTTTACATAGAAGTGGCTCACAAGGCACAGTTCTTTTTGCTCCAAATACAATTCTACATGCAAGTTTTTGTTTAGTATAAATTTTCTTTAACTTAGCGTAGCTGGTGCTTGCCCATAAATATTGCTGTAAATTAAATATCTATGTATAATAGAAAAATATAAACTTGTGAAAGATCTTATATCTAAAAATGGTTTTGCTTTATACATCATTGCAATGTTTATTGAAAGTTTTAATTCAAGAGTGCTTATATGTTTCCTCCATGATAAATTTTCATCTAAAATAACACCTAAGAAGTTACAGTTGTTTGTCTAGTAATATTTAAAATTATTAATTTTAAGATTGGGTAATTTTAAAGGAAGGTTTTCTGTTTTGGTTGGTTCGTGAAATAGAATAAACTTTATAAAAGTTTATTACAAATAAACTATTCGTTTACTTTGTTTACTTCTTCATTAACTACTTTAAAGAGAGTTTTAATGTTCCTATGAGAATAAAACAGATTTGAGTCATCCGCAAACAAAATAAAATTTAATAAGTTCCAGGTAAGAGATAGATCATTTGTATAAAGAGAAAACAGTAACGGTCCTAAGATTGAGCCTTGAGTACTTTAAGCCTTGAATACTACACCTTAATCAAAGTAGAAACATTGCTAAACATTTGGAAATATCAGTAAATACAAGTTTCACAACTGTGATATTATTTAGACAAAAAAAAGGAATCAAGAAAGAAATGCATTTGGCAGTTCAAGAAGTGCTGTACGAGAAGTTTTCCCGAAAGATAACAGAATATTTTAAGTAACTAGCAGCGAAGATGATTTTAGCAGTGACAAGTCTGAATCAGAGACTGAATTCAGTTTTATTGATGCTTCCATGGATGAAAACATTCCCATTCCAAAGGTGAAAATGCACTTGCAATCTGTTATCTCAAAAATCAGAAAAGTTGTCAAGTTATTTAGAAAATCTTAAGTCAAAAATGACGTCCTCCAAAATGAAACCAAGAAACAGGTCAGAAAAGAGATTTCGCTAATTCTTGACTGAACAAGATGGAATAGTCTACAGTCGATGATTTATCAGTTTCTCAAAGTTAAAGATTCCATCAGAAAAGTATAGAAAGATGTTTCTCCACATTTGATTACTTGATTTGCATCGACAATGAAGTAAACATTTTATAGAACATTGTTCTGCTCTTGAACCAATCAAATTGACAGCAAAACCCCTTTGCTGTTGTTTTGCCGACAGAATGCAAATTTTCTTACTCTTAAAATTACAATACACTTTGTTTCCTTAGAGCTCATTTTCTTTATCAATATAACAATTATCAATAAAGATCTAAATCTTATAAAGACTTTATTTTAAAACAAAATAAAATTTCAAATGAGTTTTTGCATGTTGCTATTGAAATATCTTTCGAGGAATATTAGAATTTTTTTTTATTTTCTACCAATTTTACCGATATTTACCGGTAAATTATGTTTGTTTGTTTGTTTTTTTATACCGATTTACCAATAAGTTTAAAAAATCGGTAAAAGTTCAACCCTGTAACATGTTGACGTTAATTGTAACGTGTTTTTATGCCTTAATTTAAAAAAAAAAAGGTTTCTAAAACGACAATTTGTCGCAATTGACCACAATTTCTTGAATGCTCAGCCACAACCGAAATTTTCCACTTTCTTTTAAATGATGTTGACTAATTCTTGTTAAAACTTTGAGCATTGTTTTACCAACAAAGTTTTCCACATGGACACCCTAGTTTGTTAGATAAAAGTTTTTTGGAAGCTAAGTCTTTTTTTTATCATTAGCAATTGAAGATTTTTTGGTAATTTGAAATTGGAGTATACCCGCATTTGCAAATTAAATGAACAAATAAAAAATTAAATAATTAATTATAGTATATATAACCCTGGAGAACTAAAACTAAAATTTTTTGATAATTAGTTCCAGTCCACTTATACAAGAAGAATTAAACTCACTTTATCGCATTATATCATATCTGCGAAGCCTGATGAATGACAAAATGTGAAACGCGTGTTTTTTTTTAAAAAAAAAAACCTGATAGCATTAAAAATAACCCCAGTTGTATATCAGGAACAAATTAAAGATGCTGTTGCTTTTCTGCAAACCTTTGCATAATTCCTAGTTAATTATAAACGTACAAAGATTGTCTGATGATGTAAGACTGCGTGATCTTATTTTGAGCTCTCATTCGAAGTGTTAGAGATAATCGTTAACAGTATTTATTACTGTTACATTTTATTTATAAAACTAGTTTTTGAACAGATATTTTTGTGGTTATTGTTGATAGATATTGTTGCTATTTTCTATAAATGATTTTATTTTTTTGTGCGTGATATTTTTTTGCAAAAGAAAGAAAAAAACGTTTTTAGTCATCTTTGAGTTTTTCCGTTCAATTTCTCGATTACCTGTTTCAAAAATCTCAATTGCCTTTTCGAAAGAACTCGATTGCCTGTTCAAAAGAAAGTCTCGGTGTGCGCATACCCGGTGGGAAATGAGCTAGCAATTAGCGAGTTACTAGCTAGCTTTATAGCGATTTTATTCTTTACTAATGTCTCTAACATCTTTAAAAATTCGATTTTTAGTGTTGAGTCTATTATAATTATGAGAATAATTGAACTTTAAACATTGCGATTTTGTACTAATGTGTCGCGAGCTACATATCGTAGCTTTGTAGCTAGCTACAAAATATCTACAAATCTATAGCTGGTTGATAGCTACATACCAAAATTTTTTTGATAGCGATTTTATTACGATATGACGGTAGCTACAATAGCCTGTGAGTCTTTAGCTTATTAAGCTAGCTGTCCTCGTAGCCAAATCGCTGTCTTTATCTTTACAAATATCGATAGCTTTTCGCTAACTTAAAAAAGCTAGCGATCCTTGTGGCCAAATCGCTGTCTTTATCGTAACGATTATAGCTAGCTATTCGCTAGCCGATTTCCCACCGGGTAATTTAGTCAGATTATACCTTTCCAATAACAGTCATATTATACAGGTAAAATTTATTCCACATCTTTTACTAAATAATCTTTATATTTGGACATTTACCTAATTTTTGTAACTTTAAACCTATACTTAATAAATAGTTTTTTTCTCACTTCTCTTTGAGTATTAAAGGTAATGATTTTTCCAGCAAGCGTGTGCACCTTGCGTTGAGCGCGAATAAGCATTAATCAGTTTAATTATTTAGACGACAATTTTTAAATTTCAGAGAAAATAACAATGTAATCTAAACAAAAATAAAAATAATAAAAACAGCTTATTGAAAATTAATTAGATTGCAAAGATTCTCATTCGATAATTTGTTGTATCACACTCACTTTGCTTAAAGTTATGTAATTTTTGTTAATGACTTTGATTTTGCAAGCTAATAGATTTTTACGTAAGGTTTATTTGAACTTGAATGACAAATAGCTAACTATTATACTTTTAAATTAATCTATGCGTAGTTACTTCCGTCCACGTAAAACGTCGGCGTTTAAGACCAGTTTATTTATGTTTTTTCAGTTGATTGTTTTAGTTGGTAATGGGTTCGTCGATTTATTTATACAAATATATTTTTAATATGTACTTATTACATTTTTTTTTGCCAAAAAACCAAATAATAAAATTCGAGGTTTGCACATTGTGAATAAGTGTATTTATGTGTCACTTATATACACACATTGTGTGTATATCACACATTGTCAGTCTTGTGGCTAGTGAGTCGGAGGCCCTCTTCTACCCCCCTCCCTTCCTTCCACTTCGCAAATTTAAAGAGCTTTCTTTTTTAACGAAAAATTAAAAAAGAAAGCTCTTTAAATTTGCGAAAGGGTCCAAATGGACTCCCTAAAACTGCTGCTCCCCCTCCCACTGGCTGTGGGAGGGGGGGGGAAGCCTAGCCACGGCTCTGCACAATGTGTCAAAAAAGATGTAAGGTAATAAATGACAATAAAATATTGAAAAAATTTTTTAAAAATGTTGTTTTTTATTTAATTATAAAATAAATTTCTTTTCCTTAAAAATATTACAATTTTTTCTTTATTAAAATAAAAAGCTTTGAGTAGTAGCCATGTAGGGTTTCTTCAATTTACAAATATTTTGTATATATCTTATTTATGTAAAAAAGCACGAAAAAAATATTTTTTGGAGATCGTGTATTCAATAAACAAATGTTTATTGATTTAATTAACTAATTAAAGTTGATTTTTAGTCAAATGTAATCGTGAACTATTCTAATCTAACTATAACTATATTCAAGAAATTTTTCAATTTTTCCTGATCTTTTTATTTATTTAATTTATTAAGGTAGTCCAGGCGTAAAGGGTAATAATAAAACATAAAAAATAAAGTGTTTTTGAAATAAATTATAAAGCTTGAAAAACATTTTTTTATAAAATGCTTTTAATCCTGCAAATCTACTTATATATTATTTATTATTAGTATTAAAAACTCAAATTATCTCACAAATCTCGTAATTTAAAATATGTAGATGCAAAAGTTCGTAAAAAAAAAAAAAAAAAAAACCTATGACGTATTTATAAAATAGATATGACCTTATCTTTATACGTCCTGTAAAATAAAGATAAATATGTTGGCAAAAAATAAACAAAAATTTAATGAAATTTTAGTTTTAAAATAAAAAGAAATGTTTTTAAAATGTTTTTAGAATGTTTTTTACTTTTTTGATTATTATTGTTTAATATATTCATTTATTAATACTTATTTAAAATGTTATAATAATTGTGTATTACTATTATAGTTTTTTTAACAGATATTATTATTATTAAATAAAAAAAGAAAATAAAAAAATATATATAAGGAAAAAAAAAATGTTTAAATTATGTTGACATATGATTCATGCTGACGTTATAAAAAGGTCGCATTTAGCATTTGTTTTAGTAATTGACGTAAAGGTAATGGAAGTAACCATGGCCTTAGAAACGATAAACTTAACATTGATCTTCATAAACACACTAAAAACATTAAAAAAAAAGAAAACTGCTATAGATGAGGAAGTCATCTTAGTAAAAACAAAAAGACAATCATTGAAAAAAATATCAAAATCTGACAGCAATTATTTTCAGCACGTTGTTATTTAGAATCAACATTATACTGCTTTCGGTTGATATTTTAATCGTAAAATCCAAAGAAAACAACATTAATTAAAGTATAAAATTAACGATTTATATATCTCAAATGAACAAGAAGCAAACAAAGTCAAGTGAGTGATTTTATCAATTTGTCTATTATATCATTTTATTAAACACCGACTTTTTATGCAACTGACATATGTTATAAAAAAGTTTAAAGATTTTATACCTTTTGAAAGTTAAAAATAAAAAAAAACCGCTGTCTTTTATATGTTTTACTGATAGTAACTACTAATGATAATAGAACAAATCATAAAGTGAAATACACAGCTAGAATGCAATGAATTGAGCATTGCTTTAAAATCAGTTTCCTCTTTTTAACTAGGTTTTAGTCTCCTAAAGAAAATAATTTCATATAATAACTTGATGAAGTTCGGTGTAGGTTACTCTAGGATGTTTTGTAAAAAGACTTTTTTTTTATTCCTGACAATTTTTTTTTTGTAAAGAAACAAACGTTTTTGATATTATTGTTAATTTTCTTTAATTTTGATAATATATTTAATTTAGATAAAAAGTTCAGCTTGTTTTAAAAAAATTTGATTTTGAATAAATGAACTTTTGAATTTTAAACAAATTTAACAGTTAGAGAAAAAATTTACAAGAGAAAATCTTATCAAATAGTTAGTCCTAATTGTTTATATTTTTTGTATTCAGAGCCAACCAAGTTCAAAACTTTCTTATCTTGCACATCTCTTTTTAACCACAAAACTTAAAAAAAGCATCTGCACTTAAAATTGTGAATGGTGGTAATATTATTTGAGTTAGAATGCTATAACTTTACTGGCTGTGTTATTTTCCACGATTTTAATTAGCTTATTTATTGCTTAATCAGCTCAATGAAGCCATTGAAATAAGTATATATGTTCATAACAATTCTTAAACCACCTGAAACTTTGGAGTTATTATTCGTACTTTAATTCAGCCTAGCCGATATTGTGTGACAGATGTTCTCTGCATATTTTTATGTCCCTGGAAAGTATATACCAGGACAAACTTCCCCTTGAAAGTAATTTCTAGAATAAATTTATTATAGATTATCCTTAAGGATAATCCCCCAATGAATTTTTGGCTCAATGAAAAACTGATGTAGTTATTTTATTTGTTATACCAAGTTAGCAGATAATGGTTTTACTTAACGTTAATAATTACCTATATCCAAGAGTGTTCATAAACATTGTCGGTCCTGGCGTAGAATTATCACATGGGTTCTATTACTATTTTATTTTTAAAAGTAAACAGAATAAAATAAAAATGTAATTTAGCAGTTAAAATACAGTTAAAGAAAATTATTGTGTTACATGGTCTAAATATTGATAGTTTGCATCACCTTTTTGCTTTCATGTTTAACTGACATGATTTTTGGAACAGACGCAACGATTGAAGCTTTAAAACAGCAAATGAAATGAGGACGCGTCATTTTATTTTCGAAGGTCTGCATCAAACCATTTTTTTATGCATTACCTATTGAAATGCAAACACAGCTACATAGCAGCTAGTGACTTAAGTACAGAAACCATTGCTGTCCCCACCCTATCACCATATCATTTTTTACGTTATTACAAAGCCTGCTATAACTGTCACCGCGGTATTAACGTAATTTAACAAACATTCCCGCGATAATTATTGTGGTGACCGCGGTAATATCACAATTCCCTTTACCGTATTGCTCTCTATTATATAGAGACTATAACTTGCTGATTTGGTTGAAGTTTGTATAGTACTATTATTACAAGATGAAAACCGTAAACAAGTATAAAGTTGCTTCATTTGAGCTTAAACAAAGCTTAAAATATATTCACGAAAACCTATATACAATACTTCTCCTTTAATGCATGTGTTTGTCACCCAATGGTTAACATCGTGAAGAATGATGATTGACTCACGTGTGATTGCGCCTAACCCAGATTACGTCTGAACTAGAAATTGATTGCTTTTGTTATCAAGATGTTCCAAAACCATTTTGTTAACCGCATCAATGATTTTGTTGTTAAAACATGCGTCCGAAATCATGATCTGTTTATTGTTATTTTTAGATAGTGCTTTGAAATCCAAGTTGTAAATTTTGAAACTTTTTTCTGATAAATAATTTTTTCAATTGAGTTTTTCAATGCTTCTGTATATTTAACTACATCAATTTTCCCTCAACTTTTTCATGAATTGTTCATTTTTGTTATTTTTGGAGCTGAGGCTGCGGGTTTCGACAAGTTGTGTTTTCGACAAGCCACGTGGTTCATTTCACCTTTTTAATACCGTTGACATTTTGTTTCAAAGTTCTTTTATTATCTTGCAACCATCTTTGTCCACAATAACTATTATTGTTTAAGGGCAATAAAATTGTTGAGATAAACCTGTCACCCATTCGTGTGTTTTTTCGTCGGTTGCGTTTCAAAATCTTGTCACCAACCGTAAACGAATGTACTGAATGTTTAATATTGTAACGTTTCTTCTGCATATTTCGTGTCATTCTAATGTTATTTTTTAGATAAGTTTCTTTTTGCTTTTATTTCTTAAGCAAACTTTGTCATTCATAATCTTTGTTCAGTTTCGTCAATTTCATGGTTGCACGGTTTTCCAAATCAATTGCAATCTGAGCTTTTACTCTAAGCATATTCTCAGAGGGAGAGTATTTTGTAGGAACTTGTTTACTTATTCAATAAGCAAAACCAACTGAGTCCAGTAGCTCTAGCTAAGAAGCATTTGCTTCTTTGTTTACTATCTTTATCATATGTGTCATTAAAGTTTGATTGAATTGGTTGTGCCACAAAACATAAAAAAAAAAGAAAACCATTATTCTACCAACTTTCTGTCAGTAGTCTGGGGATGACATGCTGGGGTTTTAGTGAATTTTTTTTTTTTGCGGATGTCCGATTTAAATAAAAGATTTTCCACGAACTTGTTACAAAACTCACGTCCTTGTTCTTTGGCGAGCCCCAAGTTTGAATCATAGATGAAGAATGAAATGATTAATGGAATTAGCACCTTTTTTTTACAAATGAATCAAATTCAAACCATCTAGTTAGGTATTTTGTTTCTACAAAAATACACATCTTTCCATTCTTGGTTTTTTTCAACAGACCAATGAGATCTATACCCTAATGATAAAAAAAGTCGTAAACTAGGATTAAATGGAGCGTACCAGGTAATGGTTTGCTTTTCATAAAATATTTCATTGCACTATGATGCTATGAAAAGTTTGTTTAATACGACTCCATTCTTCTTCTCTAGTTACAACCTGTTGCAGTCTTTTTTATTCCCAATGTAAAATAATTTCCTATGCACCAGCCGAAAAGACATTTTTTCAAAGTTTTCTTTTTTTCTTTTGTATATTTCAATGGAATTTTTTCTTTACTGAGGAAATAAACTCATGTTAAATATTTTAATACGCGATTATGTCAATTTGTAAGATAAATATTTGGGGAGAGCTTTTGTAAAAATTTATTTCGCAAATAGAAGAAAATATGTTATGAAAGGGAAATATCATTTCAAATAAATTTTCCCCGCGCAAAACAAATTTCTGTTGGGGGGAATATTTATTGTGGAGCTTTTGATAATTGCAATATTAAAAAAAAAAAAAACAAGCCCTTTATTCTTTTATGGGTTTGCATTTAAATTATTTAAAAATGAGGTGAATTACTAAGTATCGAATCAATTACTTGTTGTATTTAACTAAAATTATGTGTTTAACTACAAATTAGGCGGTTGACAATTAAACAATAAACAATTAATTTCTTAATACAAAGCATTTATCGTAAAAAAAACTTGCGTGCAATGGATGCCTAAACTCACAAAAAACGCTTTTCAGGGGATATTTTGCAGCATTATGGTTATGCCCAAAGTCAAAATGTATACATGTTGGTGAAAAAAGAATTACTTTGTTGAATACAAATAAAAACAAAATTAAAAACACAGAACTAGATTTAACATTTTTAATTGAAACCTATGTGTTAATATTTACAATTAATGTCAATACAACAATCAATACTATAATATATATAATAATACATACATAATAAAATAACTTAGTAAACCTTATAAAAGAATTTGATATACAATCAGAATAAATTAAAAAAAACTAATACCCAGTGGGCACAGGACCTAAAAAAGACGACTTTTGAACGTTCAAAAGACGTCCAAACGTTCAAAAGACTTTTAAAAGAAGTTTAAAAGAAGTTTTTTTATGTTCCGTGCCCACTGGGTAGATAAAGTAAATCAAAAGTCATTCATAACAATATAATATATTCTTAATATATTCAAGTCATTCATAACAATATAATATATTCATAACAATATATCTCATGGATAATCTCTATATCATGAATAAAATGAGTTTTACAATAAGGGCAAAATATTTAGTTTTTTTTTAAAATACAGGGGTGGGACCGCAAAATGTGAACACTTTTCTGATTGTAATAATTAATTTTCTGTTAAATATGAACTATTTTAAATGTTCAAATCAACCTCCTTGATTCTCGTAGATCATTTTACAACGTTTAGACCAACTCTTTAGACACTTTCTGATGAGTGAGAGAGTACAACTACATCTAACGTGAAAATAGTTATAATAAAACAAAAACGTTCACATTTTGCGGTCCCACCCCTGTAGAAGCTGATTGGGAGCAGCCGTAGCACAGTGCTTATCGTGCTTGCTTCAGAAGCTAGAGATCCGTGGTTCAACGCTACCTCTACAGCAAGTTTTAAAACATCGGTAAGGAAGCAAGAGTAAACTTCTCTTCAATTACTCTCCCGCGGTGATCTGTAATAAGACCGTAAGGACTTCTTGAGGCACCTAAAATAAAAAAGTTAGAATAAAACTGTAAAATAAACTGATATGTTGATCAATTAGTTATAGATCAATATGCTAGTGAATTAGTTGTTCAACTTCAGTCTAAAGTAACTGTTAGAGTCTAAAATAACTACTTAATGTTGGCTTTATTACATGTAACCTTTATTTTTTCTGTTTAATAAAATTTACCCTTTTAAAAGCCCGAGCTAAAAATATTCCAAATGTTGTTTGTCGATGAGACTTTCAATCATACCTTAACTACCACTACAATGTTCTGGAATTTCTTTTATTGTTAATCGGTTAAGCTAATTAATCATCATTAACTGCTATAATAGATATTGGATCGGTTATTACATGAAAAGGTGTCAGATCAATTTATCTCAATTTATCCTAGTTCAATATCTGATAAAATTATTTTTAATTTTTCATTTGTCTGATTAATCTCTTCGACTGATGTGGTTTTGCATCATCAGTTAATTTTATTTGATCAAAGAGGGAGGTCTGGGTTAGTCTTTAACCAGTCTGCAGGAAACGCATAGTTAAGCAAGTAAGCTTTATACAGATAAACTGTAGGATTATACAAAAAGATTTCACAGATTCAAATTTATAATTTCAAAGGCAGATTTAAATCAAGTCTTTTTATAACTTTATTCCAGAGCTTGCTTAAATGTTCTGTAAAACTGGCTTTATTTGTTATAAATCTAGAACGATTAGACATATTTTGAGCTGCGTTTTTGTAAACAACTTTAGACAGTTTTAATACTGTTGGATTGCATGGTTGAAACCAACGTTGAAATGGCCATATCTAGCAATTCTACAAAATATTAGGAGAAGATAAATAGAAATTAGGAATAATTTAGCAGGAGCTTTTACCAAAATTAAAGGTGAATTTTTAACAACGTTAATAGTCTCAAGTAAAACTTCGTTTAACCACTTCACATATTTGCCCGAGTTGGTAGATATTGATTTTTTAACACTTGCCATAGTTAGTAGTTTACAATATCTAAAATTTTTCTGATCATCAGCCATTTTAAAAAGTAAAACTTTATTTGATAAGTTATTGAAATTTTTATTCCAAGATTAATTTTTATCATAATTTCATTTAAAAACCAAAATCTACACATTAAAAAAACAAAAATATTTTGACTTACCTTTGACCACTCATGAACCTAATTTTAGCCTTCGGCTGAATTTAGGCTTAGACATGGTCAGATTTTGGCCTTTCTACCAGGTACAGTTAAGTCAGAAATACAATCTATAGAAATGACTAATCATAATAATAAAGCAAAAAGGATTTTTAATAAATAACATTTCAACGTTCAAACTGGATACTTACAAGATATTTTAAATCTAAAGTATATATATATATATATATATATATATATATATATATATATATATATATATATATATATATATATATATATATATATATATATATATATATATATATATATATATATATATATGTATATATAGATAGATAGATAGATAGATAGATAGTTAGGGGAAAGGCGCCTATGATGGCATACTTAACTTTGAAGCTTCATTGTTCAGTATCCTGAAGACCAAGAACAAAAGTTTTGATATGGATACATTTCTTGTTACATGTAGAACAATAATAACCCTAGAAGTTTTGATCAGTTTTATTTTTATATTAAATATTCTTTTTTTTAAAAAAAGCACAAGTAGGGGAAAGCGGGGCAACATGGCAAACGTTTTGAAAGCCCTGAGTTATTGCAAAACTATCAGCCGTGAAGCAATAATACTTTCTCAGTATGTTTATGTTATCAAAGTCCTTCATTGCCTGCATGAATTTTCAGTTTTTAAATATAACAATTTGAAATAAGTATTAAAATAAAAAGTTCGTAAATTTGTTATCTGATCACGTGACCGGGGCAAGATGACTTATTATGCAATTTTTACCTCCAATTTTATAAAATTTTAAAAATTAACAAAAAATCTAACTAAAGTAACATAAAATAAACACAAATTGCAAAAAACTACTTCTAAAGAAGTTAAACTTGAAGGACACCATCCATTATGAGAAACCGAAAATGAGGAATTTTTTTTTAAGCGCAAAAAGTAAACTTATGCGTATAAAATTGCGTTGATAATATTTCAAAAAAACAATTGGTGTTTTAAAATACAAGATGCAAATACAGTTTCGTTTTCAACCAATTTTAAGATTTTTTGTTGAGTTGTTATATGAAAACCCATCTTGCCCCATTCGCCATGTTGCCCCGCTTTCCCCTATGCCATCATAGGCAACTACTGCTCCTATGATGGCATAGGGGAGGATGGTTAGC